CTGTGCCTAGATAACCAAAATCTTTGAATCTACACACAGCAAATAAACTCAAATGACACAACGAGAAAAAGGAGATCACACATACAGTATAGTCGATAAAAAACTGTCCGCTTCAATCTGAAGAGCAACTAAAACAAAACACGGGAGTGTACCTTGTTCTTGTGAACACTAATGTTATCCACAGCATACACAGAGACCACGCATTTCTTAAGGAGAAAACTAGTTACTAAAACAAAAACACGTTAGTGTACCTTGTTAGCTAATGTTAGCTAGCTGACATTAACGTTACACATTGCACTCATATTACTCACCGAAACCTTGTAAAGCCGGTCCCGCTGCTCTTACAGAACCGACTAACTCCCCTTTCATATAGGTACAGCTCTCAACGTGCCCAGACTTGTAGTGATTTTCACCTCGTAAAATACTTTTATTCTCATTCTGAAAGAATGTGGTGAAATGTGCTAACGTGACGGCCATCTTTATGTTGGTGACGCGTATTGTGCGAGACGAGAGACCTGTAGTTCACTGAGCGGTTTCACACGAAAAAATGTGTAACTTCACAGTTTTACGACACATTTTTATTTTTTTGACTTGCAAAATGTTCTTTTAAATTGACAAACATCATATGTGTCATTCGTGGCACAATTCAAACGGGATCAAAAGATAACCTTTCTCTCTCCATTGACTTCAATGTATAATTTTCCGCTTCCGGGGTCCCATGGAGGCTTTCGGAAGGGGAGGGACTTCGCCTCTCTATTAGCCTACTTTCGAAAACATAAGATTGACAAGTTTGACAACCTATCAATAGCCCCGTTTACATGGAATGCTTTTCCGATCGTATCCGATCACTAAATAAAGCGATCCACGTTCACTACATGGGCCAAGCATTAAGCTGATTACAATTTCACCTGTACCGAAGTGGGCCGATCGGAGTGGGGCAGTGGGCCGCGTCGATTGGTCCGACCGGCCCACTTCGGTACCGGGCTACCGGCCCATCGGGATTCGTCCCGAACGTCCCGATGGCCAGTCCGCCCCTGCCTGTAGTCGAATTGGAGTCATGGGTGGGTAGTGTTTTTACAGTCCACTAGTTCGGTTAAGAACATTTAACGTTACAGTTAATGTTGTGTTGAGAAATATATGCTCTGCTGAGTGTTCTTCACTGGATAATGCGTGGTCTGAATAAAGCATGCTAAACGTTAGCGCATGCTAAACATTAGCACAAGATAAACGTTAGCGCATGCTAAACATTAGCACAAGCTTTTACGGCCTACTCAGTCAGTCACGGCCAGACACACGTAGGCTAACGTTTCCCATAAATAACGTTACATTTTCTTAAATGAGCTACCGGACTGTAGTAACGTTAGCCACCCATAAATCCAAGCGGGCTAAAGGCTAATGTCTGAATAAAGCATGCTAGCGTTAGCTTATAAGGGCTATCAACAGCCGGTAAGACCCACAGCCAGAGTCAACGGAAGATATACTCAGACAAGCGTTAACGTTTCGGTATGTGAAATTATATTAATATATATATATATATATATATATATATATATATATATATTAACATTAGTTTATCCTAACCAGTATCACATGTGCTCGTTTTCCAAGTGTCAAAGACTGGATAGAGGCGGATGAAGACTGCTGGTTACGACGATTACCTCTGTCACTACCGATCTGCCCACATGATCTGCACCCCCTGCCCGATCTGTACTGCGCATGTGCGAGATGGTCTGCTACATACGGCAACCCAAATGGGACACTTGACACAGTGGTCTTTGGCAAAGCAGAAAAAGAACACCCGACAATATTAATCTGAACGAGAGAGATTAGTTAGTTAGTTAGATTAGTTATTGTTATTACAACGTGACTTCATATTATAACGTGACTTCTCTATTATTTAACAACTATTTTTATTGGGTTCTTTTATTTTGGGTTAAGTAGATTGTCAGAATAAGTGAGAAATGGATGTAACTTCTGTTAGACTATCATACTGAATAAATATGTACTGTGAATGTATGCAAAAATATATGACATTAATAATGTATAATCTAATTACATTAACTGTGAATGTTTCATTTTATTTAAAATGAAATAAAATTACATGAAAAAGTTGATTCAAGAACAAATCTGTTATTAGATCAGTACTTTTCAACGGTGTGGCCTGGCTTGGTTGAAAGCCCACTCACCACGACAAGGTGCAGGCCTGTGGAACTGCCTGAAACATAAACATGTTTTAAATATATGAGACCTACGGTATTCAGAATTACTTTACAACATGCATAGTGTAACATGGCTACAACCCCTCCTTGGGATGTTTACAATAAAGAGACAAGAAGCCCATTCCAATATTGAAGAAATTGCTACATACCTCAAACGCCGTCTCACTGTGCGCAGAGATACTTTTAATATCTGCGCCATCTTTGTAGCTGTAAAACCACAGCTCCTCAAAAAAGAGAGTTGCTCCCTCGAAATGCTGTATTGTGGGGGACCTCGGCCACCCAACAGAATGAGTGGGGCGTGGTAGCCAGAATGACCTGCAACAACAGCAAAAGATTAGATTACATTTATTGTCATTGTTGCATTTCTGTCGTTGTGCCGGAAACCCACACTTTAGTGTCATTGCCCAGCCAAAAGTTACGATGAAAAGGAAATGCAGTTTGGCATTAAACCAGTGGACATGCAACACACTATAGTTGTAGTATACAGTATGAACAAAAACATAAAATGTGGATGGGGATATATCCAGTCTCTGATAGTGTGACGTTATTATGACAGTGCTCTGTTTGATTCTGAAACTAAGGACTAAGACATGAGGATAGGAGTCGAGGAGGGGAATTAGTGAAATGAGAAAGGGCCAGAGACTCCCCCCTCTGGCGCACTTTCAATGTCCTCATTCCCACGTTTGATGATACGTGGTATGTGTTCTACAATGACAGCTGGCCAGACTTCTCACGATAGGGGAGGGGGAATAGCATCTAGTGCAGCAGGAGATAAAGGTGGAATTTGGAGTCAAGTTTTAAGGTTTCAGTGGACAACTCCAGACTCAGCGTCTCACCAGAATGTGCTAATTAATAGCTGGCAACTACAGATTAAAAACTTTTTGTATTGGTATTACCGATATTTTAATACAAAATAATTACTTTAACCCTCCTGTTGTGTTCGGGTCAAATCTGACCGATTTACTACTTTCATCAATTATAACTTTTTAGTTTTACATTCGATTGCATTAAGGCGTTATGATATCCTTCACAGTAGACATTTGAATACAATTGCTGATCACCACTTTCATTGAATTTTGGATGATTTACTCAAAAATGACAGCCATAATGAAAAGGAATTAGTAACCATCCGGATCAGATAAAACACACACACACCCCCACCCCTTATGTGCCCATCCCCCCCATGTGAATCACACCTGGCACACGCAACAATTTGATACATTTCCTGCTCTTATGTGCCCATCCCCTTAGGTGTATATTCTTTGTATATTTACTGCAGTTTTTCATGTATACCACCAGTAGTCTGATACAATATCTACAGTTTGAAAGGGTGTTACATTAAATGTGGTGATGATTAATGGTTTTTGTGTTCATGTAATAGCAGTTAAAACAGGACCTGTCACGAACACCAAAGTAACATCACATCGACCTACCTTGTTGTGCGGTTGTGGTAGGCCAAGATCTCCGGACTTCATCTATATATTCCCGAAGGTCCTGAAGTAAAAGATCTGTATGGACGTTAATTAGCCTGCCCCGTGACCACTCGATGCTCCTCTTCATTGTTTCTAACCTGCCAGTAAACGGTTTGGTGAAATAGGGGAGAAGACAGAATTTGTAAGTGTGAAAGATCTCACAGCCCCTCAGTAAGTTACATGCAAAAACAAACTGCATTCCTTTATGTTCGATAGTAGCGATAGGCTGGGCCCTTACCTCACTATTGTGGATTGTAACACAGCATGACCATCATCTGTTTGGAGAAGTCTTGTGCAGTCATTTATTGTCCTTTTGCAATGCAAGATGAAGTTTCTCGTGGACATTTTTCGACGAGTCTACTGTTTCTACAACTAAGATTCTTCTTCTGCCTTCTGCCTTGTGCCCAGGGCGGCCCTCGGCATAGGCAATATATAAAACTTTTTTTATTTCATAACAACACAATTTCCCGATTTTGGATCAACAAAGTACATCTTATTATCTTATACTAACAGAACTACGCCTATATTGCGTACAGCGCCCATAAACTATGGCACCCCCCCCCCCAAATCAAGTTGAACTGCCCCAGTCCCAGTAAAAACCAGAGGTTTATGTGAAATTGTTCTTTTTTTAAAATAAGGGTTTTAGTGTGCAATTATAGGTTTTAATTTTGTATTTGTATTCATTTAAAATAAATCAAACTCCCAAAAAAACTTACACAGCTTCTGTGTGCTTTTATTAACATTGGAATTTACTGTGTAAGCAGCCGCGGGGGGCGAGCTTTAGAGAGCTCTCTCCTGAAAGACTGAGAGGCTCTGATAACCTCAGCTCATCATATAAGGCACACCTTCATATGATCATTATAGTTATAAAAAAATAAGAGAATAGGTGAAAAACAGGTATAAAATACTGACAGTACAAATAGGTTGTTATTAATAAACAAGAATACAGTTTGAAAGGGGAGTGATTTGTAAAATATCCATAAAGAAAAAGAAAATCTGCTTACAGTTCTGTTTCATATGGATGTTGAGAGATGTATCCATAGATCTCCTAATGTTGCTCTCAAAGTGTACCAGATTGATGCTTTTAACTTCAATATTAAAAAAAAAAAGTCTTCCCGGGGTTGCATGCCCCCGGACCCCACTAGAGGAGGTGAGGTCCCCCCCCCACTTAAATCATGTTCAAATGGATAGGAAACTAAATACAGTTGCACACATCTTGTGTCAATATCTTTGTTTTGGTGGTCATGCCACAACCGTGCACACGCGAGTCATAGTGAGTGTCTGCATTTTGGGGGGGGGGGGCGCCAGCTAAAATATTGCCTAGGGCGGCAAATTGGTCAGGGCCGGCCCTGCCCTGCCCCGCCCATTTCTTTAGCTTCCGGTTTAGTAGACAACGAAAAAAGTAAACAATTAATTATATTTAGCCTTTAGGAACAGTGCTTTGTAATAACTCTCAGTACCAGATTAATTACCTAACCTAAACACATTTACTACCCAATAGCATAGTTCCATCCCCTGAAGACAAGGAATGTGTCATAGTAGAAATGTGCAGCCCAATGAAAGAAGGAAGCATAAAGCTTGTACATTTCTATAACCCGTGTAAAAATCTTCACATTGAAACTTTACAGACAATAGCAGGGACGAGTCATAGAAGGGAAGTATGGTGTGGTGATTTTAATGCTCACAACAGCCTATGCGGAAGCAGTCAAACAGACAGTAATGGTGATGTTAGAGGAAAGATCATTGTTTTGCCTTAATGATGGACAAAAAACAAGAATAGACGTGAATAGGGGGACACAATCATGTTTGGACCTCACACTTGTGACGGATAGTTTAGTTAAATCGTGTGAATGGAATGTAAACGTGACTATACCATAGGAAGTGATCATTACCCAGTATTCTCTATCATCAACACAAATAGGAAGTGAGTATATTTTCCAGGTGGTGCTTTGGTAAAGCAGACTGGGAGAAATGTAGAATTCGCTGTAAGGAGTCAGCACAATTGTTAGCATTAGAAGGAAGTATAGAGGAGTGCTCAAATCAAATCACAATGCACATTAAAGAAGCAGCAAATATAATTATACCAAAAAGAACAACAGAGGGTATAGGAAGAAAGTGGTGCCGTGGTGGAATGAGGAATGTAGCAGAGCTATTAAAGAACAAAACAAGGTATTCAGTAACTACAGACATAGCATTAACATCACACTTGTGTAAATGGATGGAGAAGATGACATAGACATGTCTTAGAACAAAGAGGGTTGCTGAGTAATTTCCAGACTGGTTTTCGCAAAGGAAGATCCACAATGCTTTGGTTAGAGTGATCAATGAGGTGGGAATACAGTGTGAAGACACTGAAAATGAAAGAGGTTATGGCAATAGTATATTTTGACATTGATAAGGCTTATGACTCTATGTGGAGGGATGGGTTACTCATCAAATTAAGTGACAGGTGACAGTAACAGTGACAGTAACAGCATCTTGGCTCAGACAGGAAATTCAGAGTTCAAGTAGGGGCAGAGGTTTCGAAAGACTTCAATATAGAAAATGGTATTCCCCAAGGGAGTTCAATCAGCCTGATATTATTTAACATTATGATAAATGACATATTGACTAAGTTGGACGGATGCATCAAATCTGCGTTGTATGCAGATGACGGGGACATATGGATAAGGGGAAGAAATGTTCCAGAAGTGGTCATACAACTGGGGTTTCAAACTGTCAGCAAGCACATCTTGCTTCATGACATTTACAAATAAACGCAAGATGGAGACTGAGAAGCTTACATCATATGGAAAGCCGATGAATGAGGTCAATGCATTTAAATATCTGGGGCTATGGTTAGATAGTAAATGTACATGGAAAAACCATATTAAACATTTGGAAACAAAATCCCAAAAAGTTTTGAACCTATTAAGAGCAGTGGCTGGATGAGACTGGGGGCAGACAAACAGGCACTAATTGACATCTATAGGGCAATTATGAGGACAACTCTGGATTACGGGTGTATAATATATATGCAGCAGCAGCAAAAACGTCATTACTAAAAATGGATAGATTACAATATAAAGCATTACGGTTGTGTATAGGTGCAATCAACAATTAATCAATCATTATCACAATTACCTCAAAATATAGCCAACACAGATAGATAGATTCAACTTATTGTCATTACACAGTACAGGTACCGTGTAACGAAACGGTTTCTCTGCATTTGACCCATCCTAGTGTTAGGAGCAGTGGGCTGCCATTATGTACGGCACCCGGGGAGCAGTGTAGGGAACGGTGCTTTGCTCAGGGACAACTCGCTAGCACTTGGTCTTTCCGGGACTTGAACTGGTGACCTTCCAGTTGCCAAGCCCCTATGGACTTCGCCACCACCGCCCGATGGTTCTAAGAACAAGGAAGAGTGTGTTGGAGTTGGTATATATATATCCCAGACTTTAAAATATCAATTTCAAAAAGAGCGTCAGATCAATTATCAGTGTGCAACAGAAATGCTGGCTGTAATAATAGGATTACAGTGGGTTGAAGAGGTCAGACCAGATAGGGTGGTGATATGCACAGATTCATTATCCATTTTAAAAAGTATACAGTCAACAACAACTGTCAGAGAAGAATTACTCATATAACTTAATCTAGGAAATCATGATAGCTAGACTCAGACTGGATCACACAGCATTGAATGTTACTCTATGTCGTAGGAACTGTGGAGTTAAAAAAAATGTGGAACATATCATATTACACTGCAACATGTACAAAACAGAGAGGGAAAAACTAAGAGACAGGGAGAGTGGAGCCTGATGGGGATACTGGGAACAGAAGGTGAGGGGGTAAGAGCTACCAGGAAGGCCATTCTTAAGTATTTGAGTGAAAAAGGATTGATTGGAAGAATTGAAAACAACGTAAACACAGTGGTATAATTCCACAAGTGCTGACAGGATGATATGTTGATACACGCTCTTGTACAGTAGGGGGCGGTATGCACCTTAAAGTTGTTTGCAATCCGCCAAAAAACCGAGAGAAGAAGAAGAAGAACGATTATACATCCATGGAAGGACCAGACACATGGCAGCAACGTTCCCATCTGCTTCATTCATTTCTCCTGTTCAACCGGTTAGTAGTGTGGACACAGATTATGTCATATTTCGATCAAAGAAGTGTGTTTGAAACTGTTTTATGTGTAGTTTAATGTCATTCTGTGAGCTACGCCACTAGCGTGTGGCTAATGGCGTCCGCTAGCTTCTTTAGCACAGGCTGTTGCTCCCTGAATAATGTAGGGCTCTACCATGTTACCATGTGTATGACTCCCTTGCACTAGTTTGGCTTACATTTCAAGTTTATTCTGTTTGTATAAATATGTGAAATGCTGGTCTGAGGTCATAATTGTTCATATTATTTAAATGCTAAAGCGCTAATGCTATGCTAATAGTGTGCCTGTACAACATAGCAATGTTAAAGTGAGTACAGTCGACCGGGTTGTGTGTGTGTTATCTGTAATCACTGTATTATATACTGTAAATGAAAAAGGCTTTAATCCTTCATCAAAGTCATAATATGGCATGTGGATTTATGTCCATTTTTATTAGAGACACATATGTCATACGGTTATTTTGATTTGCTAAATGTATGTTTACATTCTCAGTTAGCTTCAGGCCTCACCGAGGCGAAGTATTGAGGTAGAAAGCTGGTGAAGCCATTTCCTGCTGTCATTATATTCTGTTTGCACAGATAATAAACCTGGTTGACAAGAAGGAAGTCGTTTTCATTCGACACAACGCAGAGATACATGTGGCGTCAATCCAGACCGGTTACACAAAGAATGATAAATAGAGAAAACAGATATAATTTGTAAGTGAATTTATTAATTTGTTTAATACATTCTGGCTAGAACGACCACACAAACGGCAGCAACTTTCCCTCTGCTTCATTCTTTTCTCCTGATCAACAGGCTTATTATCTGATTACCAGCTCTGCACAGCGGACTTGTAACACTAGCAGCAGTGGAGATGGAGCATCAGAACCTGGAGGCTTCTACTCTCCTGAAGAAGAAGAATACAGCAACAAGGATCCATTTGAAGATAGGTAAATGTAAATATTACAGTAATAGTGTACTTGCATTGTGTGGGTGTAAGGGTGTAACTTTGGTTTGCGAAGTGGGGGGGACACAAAACAGGGGGCAATGAAACATTTTCTCAATTTAATTCCATTTCCTGCCTTTCTACAAATATATTAGGGGCTATAGTGTTAATAAATCCAAGAAAAATGTGTAGTGTATATAATGAGTGTGCACACTTATCTAGTATCCTATCCATGTGAACCTGTTTTATTTGTGATGACCTCACATCCTCTAGGGGGGTACTAGTATATATTTCAATCATCAAAAATCCTGCTTGCTCACAAGCAATAACACATATTTGATCAACTCCTCTCTCCTATCTTTATCTTACCTAGTCTGCATTCTTTCTTTTTATTTATGCATATTTTACTAATCACTCCCCTTTCAAACTGTGTTTTTTATGTTGTACTGACCTATTGCACACAGTGGAATGATTTATTAACTCATTTTATATACAACTAATATTACATAGATGGAAATGATGACCAAACCTCCCTGAGCTGACGTTATCTCTCTCAGTCCCACAGGAGAGAGCTCTCCCTCTCCTTATTGTTGAAACGGCTTCTAATCTCCGTTAGCTCCGAGCTAGCACCAAATACTAACAACGTCTCTCTTTCTATCTCTCCTCCTCCTCCTCCTCCTCCTCCTCCTCCTCCTCCTCCTCCTCCTCCTCCTCCTCCTCCTCCTCCTCCTCCTCCTCCTCCTCCTCCTCCTCCTCCTCCTCCTCCTCCTCCTCCTCCTCCTCCTCCTCCTCCTCCTCCTCCTCCTCCTCCTCCTCCTCCTCCTCCTCCTCCTCCTCCTCCTCCTCCTCCTCCTCCTCCTCCTCCTCCTCCTCCTCCTCCTCCTCCTCCTCCTCCTCCTCCTCCTCCTCCTCCTCCTCCTCCTCCAGAGAGAGAGAGAGATAGATAATTTTATTTTGAGTTGTGCATTGTTATTTGTGCTTGAGAAACATTCCACTTGAACTTTATTTATTTATATTTTTTGCAGGTTTTGGATGAGGTATCTATGAATGAGTTTTTTTATCTGTGGGATCAGTGGCTGAATCCTCCTTTATTTGCATTTAATTTATTATATATATATATCTCTGTTCTTACTCAGACTGTGGACATCGCCATCAGAAGAGAATGCGTCCTCAAATCTCTAATGATCTACCTGGGTGAACCTGTTGACCATCTCATCAAAGAATTCCAGGTAAGACCTCCCACTCACTCACAAGAAGTTTGTTCATAAAAGAAAACATATTTGTACTGCATGCAAATAACTGCTTGGTTAGAAAGATAGTCATTTGTGATGACCTCCTGAGCTTTCCTCTTGGGCCGACTGAACTGACGCCTCAGGCCTGTTGAACTACACTCTGTGGTCCTCATCCATTCCCCTTTTTTTTGCATGATCTGCAGGACGCTGAGGCTGGAGAACTGGAGCAGGCAACAATGGAAGCCTTTGACACTGGGAAAGAGGATCAGCTTCATCGACCCAAAGACGTCAAGGTTCTCATCGAAGGAACAGAGGTCCTCAGCGGCTTGCCCTCGGTTGCGACAGCTTTTGCCATGCTCTTCGGGCTCATATACGCACTGAAATGGGGCGAAGCCTGCGAGCTAGTTCAGGCAGTCAACTCGAGCACTTATGCTGCATTCATACATAACGCCCCCTTGCCACTCTACAACCAACCAAACAGAGTCTCCTTAATATGCCGCTCTATTTAACCTGCCAGATCTCTCTCCATGCATTGCTTGCTGCTGCTATTGCTGCAGATACCTCTACGTCGCTGCTGCTCGCTGCCCCACCACCACCCCAGCTTCCACCTGTAGGCTCGGGGGTTAGTTATTTGATCATCACTCATCGTGCTATGTATATCTATGGAGTGATGATGCCCGAGCCTAGTCGCCAAACTCAACTATATGCTGCTTCTAATAAACATGTTAAAGGAACACGTGAGTTGTCTGACTGAACTTAAGATATCAGAAATAACTGCAATCCACTTTTGAAGTTGTGCAAAAAGTCCTGATGGAGGGGAAAAAGATGAGCCCAAAAGTGAATAGACTGAGAACCCAGCTGGTAGACACTTTGTTGCACTCACTCACAGTTACCATTGTTACATGGTAAGGTTTCTAAAACCAAGGTTTTATAATAATTATGCATTGTAAAACATTTGCGAAAAAGTGTTGTGTTCAGAAGTTGCACTTACAGTATGACCGATTTTCACTGTAGAAGTTATGCATGTCTGATCATTTTCAGAGATTACATGTCTCACAGGCGCACGTTGTCAGTGTTGCTTTAAAAAAGTGTGCAGTGGGTAATAAGGACATGTCTTTTTTCTAAGAGTTTGATGTTTGGAAGCGGCCCACATATTACCGCATTTTAACTGTGGTACTTATTAACATGTCTAAGATCAGGTAATGGCTGCCTCAGAGGCCAAAGCTGGTTGTGTGAACAACTTGTTTTTCATTCAAATAAATGTGCTCTGGTGTTAAAATATACAGATTGATCTGAAGAAATTGAGTCAATGTAAAATATTTCGTGTGATTGATTACTCTAATATTTTTTTGTTGGTACAACGTTTTACTTTTATTAGTGTACCTTTCAGTTGCATTGCACTCCTTAAACGTGTTTGAGACACTTTAGATAACAATGTGGCTGTCATTTGATTAACTCTGAAAATACAGAGGTTTTTATTGAATAAATCACCCAAAAATCAAATGAATTGAGTTACAGGTGTCCCCTCAGCTGTGCAGACTTATTTAATAATATGATAGGAAATTGTGGAGTAAAGTTAATATCTATCTTGTACACACACTTTTCCTCTACTGATTATATTACTGGATGGAAACTGAAAGCACGGGAACATTAATAAACTACACAACAGAAAGTATGAATAACATTAATGAAATTGTGACTGTAGATATGTTTATACTTTATATTATTTACTGTAAATGTTTAATTTAGATTTAATTATTGTGATTATTTTCTATCTAAATCTCACAATGGGGTAGGTTACAGGAACTTTTCATCAACAGATTGCTTTAGTCTGGCTTAACTCTTCACTGATTGGTTGCACACACTTTAAATGTACTGGCTATGCAAAACAGAAGGTGGGGCTCATTATCATATTAAAAAACCGCGCGTTTATTTGATCAAATAAACGCGCGTTTATTTGATAAAAAAAACGGGCGAATAGTGGCACTTGAGGCTTTCCATAAAAACGCGCGTTTTAAACGGGCGAATAGTGGCACTTGAGGCTTTCCATACATATCCAACAAAACCCCGCCGCGGCCAAAAACCTCACACACACAAGCCCATGTATCACAACACTGGCCATGGCAGACTAGGAACAGTCCTGTTCATCTTGTCTCCTGCTTTACAGTCAACCAGACCCTCACAGTGCACTTCATCCCAACAGCTATCAGCAAGGTGAGTGGTGTTTAAATGGATTGTAGCAGTATCAAAACAATTTGAGTTGTTTCATTATAACCACTCATGCATCCCTCTGTGAGTTCATCTGATCAGAGTGAGTGTTTAATGTATTTACTGAATTGTGTTAGTTCCTGAGGTGACGCCTTGCATTTCTGTAGCTCTTAGCTGCTTTTTGCAAATGTGTTCTAAATTAATTGTATGTGTGTTTCTTCGGTCCTTCCGTAGGACACAATAAAATATTAGTTTTATAGATCTAGAAACCACATTTTATGAATGTCGAGCCCAGTGCACTTTGAATTGAAATATGTGACACCTTCCTTTATGTCTTACACAGCACTCCGACTGGTATTTACACACTATTTATACAGTATTCAATCAGGAAGAAATAGGGATAATGGCTTTTACCATCATTCATCATATTTAGTGTCACTAAAATGTCAATCTTTTTGTTTCTGATTCATTGACAGCTCCCCTGTTGCTATGGCACAGTACAGTGGATTCAAGCAGCTCCTCATATATGCGGTATCCATGTTTATCATTGCATTGTCCTTTTACCAATGGGACATGTCACAAAGAAAACAAGGTACAGTGTGTGTATGTGTGTGTGGTTCTTACCGTTCCTGCTGTGCATCCTGTTTGGTCTTCCTGCTCCAGACACTATTTTCATGCTCCACTGCCTATGACAAATAGTAATTTAATAGATTAATAAATGTTGACACTGTGACCTCACCCCACAGTGCTTGCTTTTGGATAATTGTGGCTCACATTAAACTAAACAAACATTTTGCTCTTATTCCAGAGGAGAGGATCCATGAGACGCAGGAGCTGAGGAAGCAGCCGCTGAGAGAAACATGTGCCGGGGACAAAGAGACATTCAAGCACCGTTTAGAAGACGTCAGAAACAATGAGCTGGCGAACCTCATTGTGGACGACAAACACGGCATCATATACTGTTACATTCCCAAGGTGACACGCACAATACACTCTTATGGTACTAACTGAGGCTCAATGCACTCACTGTGTCTGAACCAATTAAGCTGGTTCCTTTCAATAAAAAAATATGGAGATATTATGTTATTAACACTAACTCACTGCATCTAAATTAAATAAAAGAAACTACTTTGCACACTTTTCCAATGTATACTGTATTCTATGTTTATAATAGTAGTAGATTGGTCTATTTTAGAGTATTTTAACTTATTGGATACATTTTATATTGTGTATTATTTAGATACAAGACATTATCTCATACTGTTTGGTTTATTATTTCAATTTTTATTTGTAAATGTTTTTAACTCATGTGTAATGCCTGTTAACATATATATACATTTTTATTGATTGGGATAAACCCCTTGAGATGCACCATCTCGTTTTCAAGGGGGTCCCGACAATAGCAACAACTTACAGACATACATAAACAAAAAGACGAAATGCAAAACATGACACACAAGACAAACCACATACAGTCTGTTAAGTAAAATTCAAGCAATGCATACAATCATTACAATTTGAGACAGTCAAGCAAATCAGTTTCATCAATATCAGTTTCATTAATAACAAGTGCAGACCAGTTGAAAGTGAGATGATAATGCATGTTTAAACATACTCAATTATGCAAAAGATCTAATAGCAGCAGGTAAAGTATTCCAGTCAGTTGAGGCTTTGAATATGAACGCTCTTCTGTCAATCCATTTTTTTGCAGAGGGGACAGAGAAATAAATCTGAACAGAATGTCTAACTTGATGATTTGGTGAGTAGGGTACAAAATACTGCTTTAAATAAGGGGGATAGTTAAGATAAATGCATTTAAATATCAGCTGGAGCCAATGCGTGTGTCTTCTTACATTTAAAGAAGGCCATTTAAGTTGGTTATACATTGTGCAGTGATGTGTACGAAAAAGACAACCAAGAACAAATCTGCATAGTCTATTGTAGGCTATGTTGAGTGGAGCAAGATCTGATTTATGTGCATTTTGGTAGACAACATCACAATAGTCCATAATCGGAAGAATAAGTTGAGAAGCAATTCTCTTTCGGACACTGAGCGTAAAACAATTGCGAGAGCGGTGTAAAACACTGATTCCGTAATTGACTTTTTGTATTACATGCTTTATATGTAGTTTAAATGAAAGTTCAGAGTCTAGCCATACACCAAGATATTTAAAGCTATCAACTTTATGCAGCGAAGTGCCATCCTTAC